CCCTCTGCCTCCTCTACTTCAGCTCCCTGCCCTTCGGCATCTACCTCCTGCTCATTGAGCACCACAGCCTGGGCATCGTCCTAGTCAGCCTTGTGCCCTCCACCCTCCTCCTCTGCATCGTCTACAGCCTCTGCCAGTGTCTGTGCCGGGAGGTCTTCGGGTTCCCCCACTCCTGATCCGCACAGCTGAGCCCTGTGCATATGCCGGGGAGGCTCTGGGCACGTTGGAGCCTTGTCCCTTGGGGTACGGGTGTTCCCCGACCCACAGCTGACCCACAGCGTGGCAGTGTGTCTGGACCACGGGGAGATGCTCAGAGCCTGTTGCCGTCACTTGCAGAACAGTGCGGGCTTTGCCGAGTGGGAGCTCATGCCGAAGCAACTGCAGGAGCTCGTTGCAGCCTACAAGCATTCAGGCTGGACTCTCAGTTCCTCTTCCTCCTCCTCCTCCTCCACAGCAAAGAGCGGGAGCTGGGCCGACAGCAATGCAGCAGGCAGGAGACTAATCCCAACTAAGGAAGCGCGAGTGCTCGGCGCCTAGCGCCGCGGCTGGAGGGGCCCTGGCAGCTGGCCGCAGCCTGGTGCTGGCAGGAGAAGGGCGGGCAGAGCCCGGGGGCTCCTGCGGCCGGACTGGCATCAGCACAGCTCCGTGTCCATAGTGTAAATAGTTCTGTCCGTGGTGCCCGTGCTCCTCGCAGGGCTGCTCCCATCGCATCCGTGTTTCTTTCCCACATGTGTGAGTCCCGTGTTCGCCGACGCTGTGTACCGTATAGGGGAGAAGCGGAGAAGAGGAGTTTCTTTGGTGTGTAAAGACGTCTTTGCAGCTGTTTTGTAGTCGTCGTGGTTTTTATGCGGAGCCTCCGGGCTTTATTTAACCTCCTTGAGTTTTGTTTTGTAAGGATTAATTTAACACCGCTAACCATTTTATTACTTTTATCAAGAAGAGCAAAGTCTATTTTTGATTTCTGTTTCCTAGTTCTTAGGAACATTAAAAACCAGCATACAGCTCTGCCCC